TACCGATGACTAAAGCGTATGCAAACGGCCTAAAACCGAGGATAAAGAGGTTTAAAGCCCTGTGTTTGAGGATTTCCGGAATAAGCGTGATCTAAACTTTCAGTAAATTAATTAAAAAATAGGATTTTTTCGCAGAAGACACTGTAATCAAATTATAAGAAAAAAGTGAAAATGCACCCGAAATTATTTAATATTACGCTTTTTAGGGCCGGCTTCATCTAGGTTACTGTATTTTCACTCTTTTATTACTAAACATTTTTTTTTAATTTTTGAAGCACTCCAATTTCAAGGCCCAAGAATGCTGCGATTAACCGGCTGCAAATAAGGGCTTAACTTTTTTTGGTCAAGTAATGTTTTGCGAGTCTTAACTTACTGGAAAAAATATCATAGACCAGACAGAGATAGCTGTTAAAATCCGAGCGTCGCATATCGAAATTTTCTCATCAGAGTCTGGAAAGCCGGTTCAAATTTTCAAAAATTGGACGATGATTTATTAGATTTTCTTTGCAAAGTTTTAGATGCATTGCTATTTGCAAAATAAAAAAATATTTTTGTCGGTTATTCGGTTGATCTGCCGCCTAAATTGACCTGCCCTATTCACTTAAATCCAAACTTTTTACTGTGCTTTTTTGCTGCCTGTTCATGTCTCCAATTCAATTATGCAGATCCCCCAGCATGCTCAATGTACCGAGACCCCGGATGCGGCATGACGTTTGGGTTTTATTCCGGGTCTGAACTTTTTTTTGTAAGATTGCCCTTAGGGACTTCAGCGGTCGTCTAGATTTAACAAACGTTGGGACCAAAAATAAATCATTTTCAATTCGATTACACTCTGCTTTTTCGAGTATTATGATGCAAAAGTGCGATGTTTAAAGGCGTTCTCTTTTTTTGCGAAAGAGTGCAAATAATTTTTGACTATTTTTATACTTTTTTGAGAACAAGAAAATCCAGACGAGAAAATAAAAAAAATACAGTAAGAACCAGAAATGAGGGCTTTGACTAGACTCGAGAAAACAAAACACTCAGCCGGAACGTGCGTATTTTACATGAATAACAACGTCAAAATTTCATAAAGATTCTTCCAAAGTTATTTTGGCGTTATCCGAGGAAATTTGGAAATTTGAAAGGAAATTTTTACCAGGAACAGATCAAAAAGTTAATGGAAATTAACCTAAAGTAATTTAGCACGTTCTAAGAACGAGAGTGTTGCTAATAAGGGCCAACTTGAGCAGAAGTTGACCTTGCAAGGGCTCACGATTTTTTTGGAATTTAAATTCTTGAGTATTGAATTAATTAATTTATAAAAAATGAAGAAATTTCAAAATTACAGTAGAAAGATTAATAACCGAGCATAATAAGTGGATTCAGACGGTTCCGGACAGCTAACAAGGGCTGATTAGTAGGGATAAAAACGGATGAAAATTCTTGATAAAGAGAGGAATTTACTTTCGCAATCAAAAGCGACTACTATTAGGAAAATAAAAAAAAAGATTTACAGACCATAATGAGCTCTGTTTTCTGATATCATGCAAATTATTTTTTGAAAATTTGCATAATTTTTATTTTTAAAAAATTTGCATAATGTTATTTGAGCACTTGAATAGCCTTTGACAAAATTAACCATAGCAAAAATCGTAGTGGACGTTTTTGTCCCCACCCCGGTTTTGTCCCCAAGACGGTTTTGTCCCCAGGACGTTTTTGTCCCCGCTTTTTTCGAGCCTTTTTGTCCCCAGACCGGTTTTGTCCCCAGGACGGTTTTGTCCCCAAGACGTCTTTGTCCTCACTTTTTTTATTTTTTCGTCCCCACACCGGTTTTGTCCCCAGGACGTTTTTGTCCCCAAGCTGGATAGTACGATATAGTACGATTAAAAATTATTCATTCAGATGTTAATGCAGTTGGTTTGGTGCACAGTACTGCTCAAACAACGTGTTCTTAGCGCTTGGTACTGTATAGTACGAGGTGGTACTATATAGCACGAGGTAAAAATTAAGCCGTAACCCGTCAATGCTATGGGTTTGAAGCCCAGTACTTCTCAAAAATGTGCTTTAGCCCATTTTGGTACTATATAGCACGAATTTGTTTTTGCACAAAGTGAACGTCTGATCAGTACTGCATGCCAAAACAACGTCATTCACGCGTTATAGCTTAATTTTTACCTCGTGCCATATAGTACCACCTTGTACTATACAGTACCAAGTGCTAAGAACATGTTGCTTGATCAGTACTGTGCACCAAACCAACAGCATTAACATCTGAATGCATAATTTTTAATCGTACTATCCAGCTTGGAGACAAAAACGTCCTGGGGACAAAACCGGTGTAGGGACAAAAAAATAAAAAAAGTGGGGACAAAAACGTCTTGGGGACAAAACCGTCCTGGGGACAAAACCGGTCTGGGGACAAAAAGATTCGAAAAAAGTGGGGACAATAACGTCCTGGGGACAAAACCGTCTTGGGGACAAAACCGGGCCCAATCAGCAAAAATTTTTGTTTAAAAATATAAAAAATTATTTTTGAAAATTTCCATATTTTTCTTCAGGAATTTGTTATTACATATTTTTGGCCAAGAATTTAATTAACTCATTGCCAAACCGAAAACTTATATCCGGATTTTCAAAATTTTAAGCGCAGGTTACACCTCTTTTTACAACCGCGAGCCACATCTTTTCGCTTCCTTAGAAGCACAAGACACACTTTAATCACACATATTAGCTCCTCAACATATCCGCTTACAAACAAAAAATATGCGTCACAGAGAAAAAGACATTTGTTAACATGACTTATAATTTATTAATTGCTAGTTGTTTACCAGTGTCATTAAATGTATTACATATTAGGTTAAAACTATTGTCGTCATTTACAGTGTTTTGTCTCAAAACATACGGCCATTGCCTTTGTGTGCTTTGATTTACATACGTTGTTTAGGAAAGGTCTGAATAATGTGAAATATAAAACAATATTGTCCATAAAAGGGAAAAAGAAAAGAAAAAATTTCGGAAATAAATTGAAACTTTCAATCTCGCATTTTAACAACCGAGATATTCAAGCCTTAAAAAATTAATCTAGATTTATTCGATGTTTCATTGAAATTTGAGCGTCGCACTTCGGCCGCTTCCCCAGTTAATTTTAATAATTTTTATTGCCTAAATTACATTGCAATTCAGTTAACCGAAACCACTATTATCTTTCGTATTTTCTTCATTTTTTGCATTGCACACTCAATGTGACAGAAGCCATCAAAACATCACATCCCTTGCTACAAAACATATATAAGTGTTGTTTGCCTCAGGCAATTAATACTGGCTACACGACGCAAATTGAATCGCGATTCGGAAAGTGTTTCTAGTTTAGTTTTCCATCAAATCTGTCATCATAATTTATTGGATTACATATTATTAAATTTACACTACAATCTCAACTACTACCACAACATAAGAGATCAGCAACGATCGGCAACATATGCGTATTTTGGGCCTAGAAGACGGAGGATGAGGTATTTGGGGGACAATTTCTTTTGTAAGTGATGTACACGAAAACAGGCGACGCAGAGAGTGATGATATTGGAGCAGATTTCAGTTCATCTCGTTCCACATCACGGTTGATGACGGGAAACAATATGTATATCCATGGAATGTGCACTGTGTGAATGGAGATTACCCGTGGGGATACTGTGGTTTGTTGTATTGAAATCTGGAATTGGAAACATTAGTAAATAACGTCAGAGATAATGGAAGCTTCAGGAAAAAGACAAAAATCAGAGAAAACATTATTCAAGAAGACATTTTCAAATATTCAAGTACACAATATCGATAATTCAAGACATGAAGAAACCCCAAGACATCCGGTATCCCCATTTAGCCCGTCCAATCAAACATTCCCGGATTAAGAGCCAAATGATGACATACGATTCATTACTCTCTAATCTGTCTAATTGTTAAGTGTTTACGGTGTAATCCACTCGATCTAGATAAATAATTAGTTTTTCTTGTGCTCAGGCCACCCCAATATGAGCTATATTTGACCTATTAAAAGTGGTCATCAAGTGAGAAATTATCTACGTATATATCTGTGCAAGTTATGAATACGATGACTAAACTTTAACTATCCAACTAGTTAGATTGTTCAGCCAATCGGACTTTGTACTAAGGACTTTTTTTGTAAATTAGGTCAAGATTCAAGAGTACTTTTTTTCGCGCCGGATATCAACTTAATCCTTGATGTCATAAACGCGCAAAGGACAAATAAAATTAAGGCGTAATGTTGTGGACCTTTACTAATATGCCTGCAGGAGCTTTACTAAAAAAAATCTAATTTGCATTACAAACTGAGTACTATTTTTGAGAAATTAATCATTGAAAGAAATATTAAAATTATACCACCTACAAAGTCAGCAAAGCAAAAACAAGTAGGAGGTGGGGGTAATGGGTGATGTCATAGGAATAAATAAAAAAAGTGACCGCTATTTTTGGATCTTTTTGATGATCTGATGAAATTTGGAACTAATCGCTTTAAATGAAAGTTTATGGTGACAATAAATTTTGGGCAAAAATCAAGTCCAAGGTTTCCCGAAATGCGTCAGTTTCCTATGACAAGAGGGAAAACCTGAGATCCCAGAAATCCCCTTCATCCGGCTCTCCATTGGCTGTAATCCCAACGGAAATTACTCATTGTCAGCCATAACAAGCATAAAAGTTTTCGCAGCAAAGTCTGCGGTTAGATTGTAAATGACAACATGTAATCCGGGAAGGCGACACTCGATTAACTCCTCGAAAGAAAAGCGTTAATCTCGGTTAATCTTGGTAATCTGATCCTCCCGCACATTGATACAAAAATATGTAGATTGACGGGAATTTCGGAGGATTAGAAGATCTCTTGAAGAATGCATTACCGTAAAAAACGAGGATAAGATGGCTATAGAATAAAGACCATGTTAAAAAAAATGTCAAAGATACCGACACAAAGAGAAATTTGGAGGCTTAAAAGAGCAGTAACTTACAATTTAAAGGAGGTCGAAGAACGGCCGTGAAATCCTCCTGGATCCGGGGGTTCGTATCCTGTGAGTTGGCACCTCAGCTTCGAAATTCGAAGATCTTTTCATCGTGGATCGCTTGTCGAAGATGGGCTTCAGAATCTTCATCAATTGCGTGCAGGTCTCTGACGATCTTTTGTCCATGTTCATCCGTCCTGTTGCTTGTAGCAAAGGGAGTAAATTGCAGAAGGAATAGACCGATTTCAGCTCATCATTACTCAATGAGTTTGGTTTCGCCGCCAACGTCGCAAAGTTTTGTTGTTCTAGCGGTGTTTTCTCGGCTAAAAATTGTTCAATTAACCTGAGAGCATGTTAATTTCAAGTACGTCAAATGTAGGCTACACTACAACAACCGTGTTTGTTTTAAATTTAGCTCCCAAGGGCATTGAATTAACTGTGTAACAAGATAAGTGCTCAAACTGACGCCTAAGCAGTCTATTTACTTACCCCCAAAATAGAATGTTACTCCTTGACAGCCGGGTAAACAGCTGATGACGATCAGAAGGATCCAGCATCGAGAGATCAGAGAGAAAAGTTGCGGCTGATATGAGGGAAGAGAAAGGAGCGAAAGCATACTGTAAATTCTAGAATACGATTATTTGTGATCTCCAGAATTGGGAGCAAGCATGAAAATAGATTAAAAATCTCGAAAACAAATTGAAAAGCATCTTTGAATCAAAAAAAAAAAAGATAACGGAAACTCTACTTTGACCGCTGATAATTGCAATTCCCTTTTATCAGCAAGTGTTCTTTGCAACCAAATAACTGTAAACGTTTTTTCCGTTTTTTACAATTGCGGAGAGAAGTGGATTTACACTAGAGTAATTGGACAGAACTGTAAAAGATTTTTGATCAGTGGCTTGTAAAGGTCAAAGATTCCGGTCTATGTGAGATACGGTAAATAATTGGGTGATCCAAGGTATTCTAATGAATCTTTGGAGATGAGGGAAATGTAAAAATGACACAAAAATTAATGATGTTTGCAAAATGATAACACGACAGAGAGGCACCTGTGGTATATCAGTTTTCCAAAATAGAAAAAATGAATCAAAGTTAGGTTAAACCAGCAATGTAGAAGAGCACAATATAAAACACTCTGTAAAGTCATAAAAAGCGATGGCTAAACATAGGCCACAGCGATGACACGCACAGAACTCAAAACGGCTCTCGCTACATCCTTAATGCCTCGGGCAATATAAAAATACGAAAGGTTCTCTACAAAACCCGCATCTACAGAAGGCCACACCCCTAAATGCTTTCGCGTTACTTCTGTTTTCCGTTCTGCGCCTACGTTTCGCTTCGCCACCGAAAAAGGGAGGGACTGCCCCGCCCTCCGGCGAAGCAGCAGAAAGTCTGTGTTTTTTCCGCCCGGAAAAGACCCCCGTAAAGAAATTGAAAGTGTTTTTTAAAATTATCCCCTAAAATTAAAAGGCACCTCAAGGATTTGCGGTCAAAATAACGGAAGATTGGGGTTTTGGATTTGGCAACATCGAGCTGGAAATACCATGGACACTTAATCTAACACCTACTAGTTTCAGTACTCGTAATCGGTCTATCTTAGAGCCATGGAGAGATTAAGAAAGTTGATGAGATAGGACAACAAATAAACAGGTTCAATGTGACTTATATAAGATCACCAAAATAGAAAATTAAAGGTAATGAAGTGCCTGAAATTACCCGAAATGTACCCAAGGACAGACAAAACAAAATGCTACATGAGTGGGGAAATACCGACCGTAATTGGGTTAGGTGTACCGGCAGATGGAAGAGCGGGGAATGGTGGTCGTTTTGAGTGATTTCATGGAGCCAGAAATAGCAGCAGGTCAATTTGTTTGTTGCCAGAGACCAATTTGGAAATGGTTTTGTCAAGAAAGTTTTCATAAATTAAACTTTAAAGAAGAGTTCGAAGATAATGGTGAGCTAAAAAATAAATTGAAAGACGACTTGATAAGAACGGGTAGGATAGCCTGTCATCGATCGCTAGAGCCCAAAAAATCAGACGCCGCCGCGCTACCATACCTCAACGTCAACCGGACAAATGAAGGAACCAATTCTTCGGAAAATTCCCACACAAAAGTTAAATCATGTAGACAGGATTATCGCGGTTATAAATGTTCAAGGAAATCACGTTCAAAGTTTGAAAACCGGACAATTTGGCTCTGCATCTGCACTAATCATTTCCCCGAGGCCATCTTTGAACCTTATTCCAAAATTTTTCTTTTGGACCTGTTGTCCTTGTGTCAGATACATGAATGTGCGTATTGTAAAAACAACCTTTCGGTGGTCAGAAACTACGTTCTCAATGTAGGGGAAAATTACTGTCAAAATAAAACTTTGAAATGCTTCAAGTAAAATAACAAACATCTTGTATGCTTTTTCACGGATGGGCGAAAACAAATTGCAATTTTTGTTGTTGAAAACATGCGTCAAAAGTGATGGAGAAGCAACGTCCGCTGCGGCTTTTTAAGTACAGGAAAGACAAAAATAAACTTTAGTCTGTCAAATTACTAAAGCTGTAGTAGTGTAGTTATGAGTAGTTGACAACTTTAAACAAAAGTTTACTGTTTCTACTACAATATTCCGATTCAAAAATTGAATTTGAAAACAAAGTCATTGTTTTCAAATTTGGACTAATGTTACAAGCAACTCCACTCTATGAGGGCGTCTCAAAATTATTTTTGTTTCCGAATACGAACGCTTCTAACTGAGACATTTTTCCGATACAATTGGAATGTCATCTATGCGGTGTGAAAACATGCAACTGTAGTCATAAAGTTTCTATTATAAATTATAAGGGTTGAGAGTTTGTGTAATCAAAACAATCTTATACAAGAGTAAGTACAAGTGACAGAATGACAGGGAATTTGAAATATCGTGGGCCTAGAAAACGCTGGGAATGTGTAGCCAAAAATTCAGTGGAAGGAAGTCGGCTTGGACTAGAAGCAACACTTTCAAAGACGCTTGTAGGATCTTAAGCCCTGATTAGAGGTGGCAATCGGGCCGGGCCTGAGCAGATTTGAAAAAGCCCTGGGCCGGCCTGACCGCTTCGGCCCGCGGGCCGGGCCGAAAGTGTCGGCCCGGAAGGTAGATAAGTAAAAAATTTTAATGCTAAACCAGCAAAATAAAGCACGAATGCTTTGTAGAATGGATGGAAATTAAATTAAAAACCTTTTTTGACTTATACGCTGTTTTACTACTTTTTAAAATTATGTAGTATATGTATATGTAACTTATTATGTATGTGTAAAATCCCACCAAAATATGCAAGGGCGAGCAAAACTCTTCGAATTTTTTTATGATAAATTTAAAAATTTCACTGTAATTTTGATTCCTTGATGTAAATGAAAGTGTTTAAACAGTTTTTGGCTAACCGTGTACCTTATAACGTCAATACTTTTATATAGCTAACTTCCGGTAGGATTAAAAAATTCAACACAATCCAACTTTTTGGCTAATTGTAAGTTTTAGCTACCTGTACGGATGTTCCAGTTATCCGACTAGACTTTTTAATTTCACGCAGACACACGTAAAAACCTTCTGGAAAGCATAAGAACTTCCAGTAGAAAGTGCAAAACTTTTATCCAACTTTTCTGTATTAGCGGGCCAAACCGGGCCGGGCCGGGCCGGCCTGGGCTTTCGTCGGGCCGGGCCGGGCCGGGCCTGAGCAAATTTGAAAAAGCCCTGGGCCGGCCTGGTCACTTCGGCCCGCGGGCCGGGCCGCAAAAATCGGCCCGGCCCGGCCCGATTGCCACCTCTAGCCCTGATAGCCCTCGCTTATCAAAAAATTTCGAGATTTTTTGATGGGAAATTCCTCAAAAAACTTGCTTCTTTTTTGTTTTTTTGAGTTTTAAAATTCAGCGTTAACTATCGCCATGTCACACAATATTTCTTCACAAAATCAAATTTTTGTAAACACGACTGCCCGGTTATTGACAAAAACCAGTTTTATTCTGACCGACCTCCTGATTTTACATGCTCTCTTTCCATGAGCCAACCCTAAATTTCTCTGCGATAAGACTTATGTGATATTACACTAATCTCATCGCATAACCTCAGAATAGCCGAAGAATTTACTTGTTTACCCAAGTTTTGCATAAATTACCCAAATTTGTCGAGTGTCTCAAACGAATTGCCAATTATGTCATCCAACAAACATCTTTTATGTCACGGAGAAAATTTGGGTCCTACGCAATCCATGATACTTCTATTGACCTAAACTTTTGTGTGAATTTAAGATTTACAGACGGTTCAAAAAAGCGGTATCCGACACCTGGCTCATTCCTTATGACACGGTTGGCCTAAAAGGCGCAAGAATTTCCGATCCAGGCTCTTCCTGTTGTCGTCCAATTCGAGGGTTCGGGTATTTACGTCCCGGAATTGAATGGATTAGCCATTCAAATGTTTTGTTAACAAAATTTAATGACCAAAAAAGACTGGGGGGGGGGGTTATATGTCATGATGCATCGTGAGATTACTTTCGGTCAAAAATCAAAGGGAAATCCGATGGTAAGTTTGGATATATGTATAATATGTAAAACTAAACAGGTTCAAAGTATATTTGTGTTTGATATTTATTTTTAGCTCAATGTATAATACTGTGGATAAACATCTGAGAAGAATTGTTTCAAAGACTATTCAAAGATCATAATGTATACATTTATAAGGCCAAACAGTATTTATCTCTCTGCCCGATCTCTGTATTTATGCTCTATAAGTATATCATCAAAGATTGCTGAATATTTTGCAAAAGTTCGAGCTAAATTTTGGGAGAGTCATCAAAATTTTAAACTTCACTTGCAGCCACTTTTAAAAAGTCGAAGAATTGACCAATACTTCATCTTTCGGCAATGAGCTATTGTCATCATTTACCATATTTCCGTACTAAACGCTTAAAAAATTTGTGAAAAATGCCTATGTTATCAAAAAATCTCGTAAATTATTTTTCTATGTAAATGGCGAAAAAACATTACATAGTTGACTACAACCATTTGTGGTGCAATTCGCTGACTCTTTCTTGGTAAACGCTTTGTAGCAGCCGTCATTGCAATATGAAATATTCATAAACTGTCGTAGTCATTTATAATTTGTTTTGCACGCAAGATTGTGGGTCTTGGACGGGGTTAAGTCCAGTTTATAACTACTATTTAAAATGATGATAAAACTATACAGTAAAAAAGGTCATTCGGACTGGGCAACCATTATATTATACTATGTCTGCACATACAAACTTCCATTAAAATGTCTCATGACCTTCTTAGTGTAGAAAGTTGTAATCGGAAGCAGTTAAAATAACGGCCTACACAATGGCCAAGAAGACCAACTCAATTAAAGAAAACGACCCGAACCCGACTGCTTCCCACTAATTTCCAGGACTTTATTTGAAACAATATTAATTTTTGAATTGTTTACAATTGCCTGTATGTGGGACTAATTCAAAGATTACTTTTAATTCCGTCATTTCTGCCCTAGGAAATGACGGAATTAAATGATAAATGCTTGGAAATTTCAACGCGCGCTTTCGAAGGGCAACCAAATTAGCAGCGATCATTTTAGACGAGAGAGTGCACAACATGC